TGAAGAGTGAAGTTGACAGGAGCCATGGCAATAATTGGATATATTTCCGAATTTAACCATATAACCGATGATTGGAATCTTTGGGAAGAAAGATTTGAATCGTTCGTAAAAGTGAATAAAATTATAGAAACTTTAAAAGTGGATACACTGTTAAGTCTGATCGGAGCGACAACATATAAGATAGTAAGAGACCTTTCAGATCCGGTTTTACCTAAAAATAAAACGTACGAGGAGCTATGCAATATAATGAGCCAACAATTTGCTAGTTACTCATCAGTATGGCGTGAGAGAATCAAATTTTACAGCTTGCAACAAGAGATAGGTGAAAGCTTTAGCGAATTCTACGGTCGTTTAAAAAGTGCGTCTATAAATTGTAAATTCGGCGTAAAATTGAACGATATTTTGAAAGATAAGCTAGTATCAAGCTTAAGAACAGGTAAAGTCCGAGATAAATTATGTGAAATGGATGAAAAAAAGACCTTAGAAGAGTATATAAAAGAAGGCATGCAGAAAGATGCAGAGTTGCAACAGAATGGTGAAGTGAAGAAAATAAGCAATTTCCAAGAGAGGGGAGCATCAGAGTCGAAGGACAGAGGGCCAAATTCATATAACCGATCTAGAGGGATGACAAAATTCCACTCCAACCATAGTGGGGGACAGCAGGGTCCAAAAGCGACCAGACAGTGGGGTTCGCATTCAAATAATGGTAGGACAAAATGCAGTAGCTGTGGTAAGAACCACCTAGGATACTGTAAGTATTCCCAATTTATTTGTAACTTATGTAAAAAGAAGGGACATTTAGCAAAAGTCTGTCGATCTAAATTTAGAACTCAAAACTTTATAAACATAGACACAGAAGTGGTCGTAAATGACGGTGAAACTTTGTATGCGATAAGTGATAGTAAATTAGGAAATGACTTTAAATTTAAAATAAACATTGACGGGTTCGAATATGAACTGGAAGCAGATTGTGGTGCGAGCGTTTCGTGTATTAATGATAGGGTTTATCGGGGACAATTTGCTAAATATCCATTAAAATCAGACAGTACTATTTTAAAAAGTTATGTGCAAAATCAGAGTTTCTCACCATTAGGGTATTTTTGGTGTGAGGTAACACTTAATAAAAAGACAAATAAAATTAAATTTTATGTAATCACAAACGGGGGTCCCATTATTGGCGGTAGAGACTTTTTGGACATTTTTAATATAAGATTGCAAATGGTAAATAATTTAACGAAGGGTGAAGACCCAGAAATAATAAAGTTAATGGAAAAATATGACAATGTTTTTAATAATGAATTAGGACTTTTTAAACACAGTAAAATTTCTCTACAGCTCAAGCCCGAAACCAAGCCTGTCTTCTGCAAGCCAAGAAACATACCTTTAGCATATAGAGATGCTCTAGAAGAGGAGTTGGAGCGACTTCAAAGGTTAGGCGTGATAGTACCTGTAGAGACAAGTCAATGGGGAACACCATTGGTGGTGATTCCGAAAACGGACGGCAAGATAAGAATCTGTGGTGACTATAAAGTAACACTAAATAGATATTTGGAAGAGGTAAGGTACCCATTACCCAACATTACATCGTTGTTCGGGAAATTGCATAAAGGGGAGACATTTTCAAAGATAGATTTATCATATGCTTATAATCAATTTGAATTGACTGAGGAATCTAAAAATTTGGCGACATGGTCCACACATAAAGGAATTTTTAGGTTAGAAAGGATGCCTTTTGGGATAACTCCAGCATCATCATTGTGCCAAAGAGCTTTGGAGCAGCTGTTCCAAGGGGTTGACAATGTATGTGTTTTCCTGGATGATTTTTTAATTACAGGTGCTAACAAAGAAGAACATTTGAAAACATTGGAAATGGTATTAAAGAAGTTAGCTGAGGCAGGACTAACAGTGAAAAAAGAAAAATGTCAATTTTTTAAGGATGAATTAGAGTACTTGGGTCACAAAATTTCCAAAGAGGGACTTAGAAAAACGGATGATAAGATTAAGGCAGTCATGGAAGCACCCAGGCCTCAGAATGTAACAGAAGTTCGATCCTTTGTAGGACTAGTAAATTATTACAGTAAGTTTATACCAAATTTTTCTGATAAGTTAGCACCATTTTATGGTTTATTAAAAAAGGATACACCTTTTGTGTGGTCAAACAGTTGTGATTTGGCATTTGAGAATATAAAACAAGAAATAGCTAAAGATATAACTTTAATACATTTCAATCCAAATTTGCCTTTGATTTTGACTGTTGATGCTTCAGATAAAGGGGTAGCAGCAACCCTGTTTCATATAGAAAATGGAATAGAACGACCAATAGGGTGTGTATCCAGAACTTTAATGCCTGCAGAGCAAAAATATTCTTGTTTATGTAAAGAAGCATTAGGGGTTGTTTATGGGGTAAGAAAATTCGAACAATATCTTTGGGCTAAGAAATTCATTTTAAGAACTGACCATAAACCTTTAATCCATATTTTTGGAGAGCATAAAGAAATTCCACAGATGTACGCAAATAGATTGCAAAGATGGGCACTATATTTATCTAATTTCAATTATAGAATAGAACATTTAAGAGGGAAGACAAATATAATATCAGATTATTTTTCTAGAGCACCCCGTACTGTAAATGTGATTGATCCAGAGTATGAGGGAAGAGGAGAATTCATAAATTTCGTGAGAAGTGGATCAAAATGGCCTATAGACAACAAAGAGGTAAAGATAGAAACTGGAAAAGATGACATTTTAAGAAAGATAAAGCAGTTTATAGAAATAGATAACTGGCCAGACAAAGTAGAAGAACAAATTCAACCCTTTGCGAGAAGGAAAAATGAAATAACCCTAAACGAAGGAGTACTACTATGGGGCCACAGAGTGATAATACCCAAATCACTAAGGAAAACGCTGCTAGATGAGCTTCATACTGCGCATATGGGTATTGCAAAGACAAAATCATTAGCTAGAAGCTATCTGTGGTGGCCCAAGCTAGACATGGATATCGAGAATTTGATAAAAGCATGTATTCCTTGCCTACATCAAAGAGTAGATCCACCCAAAGCAGAGTACACTCCATGGCCAGCAGAAAAAGAAGTTTGGAGACGAGTACACGCAGATTTCCTGGGGCCAATAAAAGGCACCATGTTTTTAATAATGATTGATGCATACAGTAAATTTCCTGAAGTTTACCCAGTACTCACTATGACGGCAGAAGAAACAGAGCTGAAGTTGAGAGATGCTTTCAGCAGGTTTGGAATCCCAGAAATATTTGTTACAGATAATGGCACCCAATTTGTATCACAGCAACTAACAAATTTTTTAGAAAAAAATGGGATTAAACACATAACAACGCCAGTGGGACACCCTCAATCAAATGGGCAAGCAGAAAATGCTGTCAAAACATTCAAAACAAAAATAAAAGCAGCCTTATGTGATGTAGCAAACAAAAATGAGAAGTTAACCACTCTAACTTCAAGATTCTTGCTAACATACCGCAATACCATCCATGAAACTACCAAAGAAACTCCAGCGAAGATCATGTTTGGCAGACCAACAAGAACTAGGTTCGATTTATTAAAAGTACGGGAAGCCGAACCCACTAATATAACAACAAACATAGAAGAATCTCATAGACAAATTAAAGAACGCAACAAAGGAAAAGTAAAAGAATTTAAAGTGGGGGAGGAAGTCATGGTAAGAGACTACAGGGGAAGAAATGTAGTAACCTGGACAGAAGCAAAGGTTTTAAGGAGGATTGGAAAATCGACATATTTATGCACAGTCTCTGAGACAGGGGCAACCTGGAAAAGACATATAAATCAAATGATTTCACGTAAGGTAGCTGAAAGTAAAGAGGTAAAGGCAGGGGAGGTTCCAAGGGTAAGAGCTGAAGAGCAAACAAATACCGGTCAAAACGTAAGTAGTAACCCTACATGTGTAATTTTAAGAGAATCGGTTGAACTTTTAAATGAAAGTGAAACTTTTGTATCATGTTCGGACAATGACACGGAGGAAAGTGGGGAAACATCTTCGCAAAGTAGTGGGGAGACAACTCCACATAGGGGGGAACAGTCTCACACAAGTACTAATACGCACTGTTTTTCCCATAGCGTTCCTGTCCAGCCAATAGGACCAGACCAAATTCGAGGCGAGGAACCGACAGAACAGGCAGATCCGAGTCGAGATCCAGAGGTTACAAAACCAGGGATATCTTCTAAAGCAGACACACCACCTGAAAAACAAACAAGGGGACCAGAGGCACCAGAGGAGAGGAAAACGAAAAGGCTATCGAAAAGGCCAGTCAAATATAGAGACTATATTTTAGATGAGGGCTTGTAAAAATAAAATAAAATAAAATAAATGACTACAATAGTTAGGAGCCAGTCAGAGTTTAGCATAGTAGATACATGTGAGTAGGAACCATTCATGTAAACATATTGTTTTCTTTTTCTTGTTTGTGCTTTTATAAAAAAATAAAATAAAACTTAATACAAATTTTAAAGTAAATTCCAAATGAGTAGTTGAATTGTTTAAATTTAATTCTAAAAGTAAAAGTATAGGATTCACAGTTAGTAAACAAATTATGTATTCATTTTAATAAGGGGGGTGTTAAGTAGTAAAAGGACATGTAGTAGTTCAAAGGTACGGTAGGCTCAGTAAGCGCACATGCGCAGGGCTGTGGTTAAACGAGGCAGGTGTAGGGACGCTCTCTCTGACTCCGGCTAGCAAGATGCGAAGACGTATCGATAACGTACCTAAATGTCGGGAAAGCTAAAGTTGTACCAATGATCAATATAAGTGTGATAAACGAACAGTGTTTAATTGAATCTTCCCTAATAACCGAGAACGTAAAACTAATTAAATAACAGTCCGTGAAATATATAATTGCCCATATCTAATGGACATTCACTATAAAGACGTTTCTATCTTTAAAATTTTACATAATATGGGTAAATTTAAAAATACTTTGTGCATGTATGTGCATTTTCCAGTAAACAATAAAATTATCTTTTTATTGTCTTAGCTACTACCACTTTCTTGGGTTTATTGACAAAGAAATAAACAAACATTGACGAAAAACTTAAAATCTGGCAGATAACAATAATATAAAAGACGAATCTAAACCAAAAATCATTTTCTATTGACTCAACCTCGCCTAAAAGCCATACTAAACACATCACCAAATTTTCGAAAAAGACTAAAAAGAAAAACCCGTAAAATATGAAAGAAGCCTTTTTAAATTTAATTTTGAACTCGATTATACAGAATACGTACACCAAACCTATGAATATAAAAAATGCCACTTTGGCTCTTTTAACTTCGTTAGTTTTGATATCGTAAAACAGGACACCGATTACTAATAAATAATGTACGGTGATCAAATAAATTGTTTCTTTCATATAAAAATAAGCGAAAATAGAGATCGTTAGAACTCTAGCTAACAAAAATGTGAACCACCATAATGTTGCTACTAGTCTTCCAGCTAAGTCGTCATCTTCAAGACCTTTTACTTCGATGACCCGAGAAATGTTGAAGTCCGGTTCTGATTGTTCGCGGTAAAAAGCCCGTCTTGGACCGTCTATAATTGATGTTGATAATGTTGATCGTAGATTACGACGGGAATGTGAACCAGAGGTATCTGCAAAAATATAAAGTACAAACTATAAAGAACTTGTGTTTACTTGAAACTGGCTGTAGGTTAATCCTTTTCAATAAAATCTTTTACTATTAGTTCATTTGGTCTTCCTCAAGGAAACGTTTTAATAAGTCCACTTATTTATACACAAGATTTGGAACGACATATATCTATTCCTACAAAAATTCTTCAATTTGCTGATGATATTGTTTTGTATATTCAGCATAAAAGTATTGATCCTAGTATTTATCAACTATCATTAAGTGTAGAAAACATACAGAAATGGTTGTTTGAAAATGGTCTAACAATTTCAGAAAACAAATCAGCGGTAGTTTGCTTCACAAGGAAACGAACTCAACTTTCAAATGTTGTTATACTAGAAAATTGTCAATTTCAACTTAAAAGTAGTCATAATTTCTTGGGTGTCATATTGGACAAGAAGCTAAACTGGAAGGAACATATTAATTATATTGTAAAAAGAACAGAAAATGCTGTAATTTTAATAAAAACTGTTTCCAAATATAATTGGGATGGGGTGCAGACCCCAACATAGCAATTCTTTTTTATAGGGTGTTGATTAGAATGATTTTTGACTATAGTGCAATATTATACAATGATGCATCAAGTACTCATCTGCAAAAATTGGACAGAATGTCTTAAGTATAGGTTTTCTCCCAAGTACTCCAATTAATGTAATAGAATCGGAAACTACAGAACCTCCTCTCAATTTTAGAATACAATTTTTATCCGAAAAGTTTTTAATAAATCAAAGGTCGAAAAATTCGGCTCTTCTCCCCCTCTTATCCAATTTATCTTCTGTGTGTTTAACTGGAAAGTATTGGTCAAAGAAAAAACTACCTTTACTAGTAGATACCTTTTTAACTACCACTGAAATGATTCCAGACCTCCATCAACAAAATGAAATTCCATTAGGTCCTTACATTTTTCACCTTTAAAAACCCCATTGAAAACATATAAACAAAAATCTACGGAATGAAAACCCTTTAGTAATTAAAAACGCATTTAAAGAAAATTTAATAAAAAAATGGAATACATTTGAAAACATATATACGGACGGATCTAAAATTGGGAACCAATTATAGAATGTGCAATTTTGTATCCTAATAAAATTATGAAATTTTATTTAAACTTCCCTGTACAATGTCCATATACAATGCTGAACTTGTTGCTATAAAAGAAGCTTTTAACGTATGTCTTCAAGAAAATAAATCTAAGTATGTTATATTTACTGACAGTAAGAGTGCAATAGAATACTTTGCAAAATGGAACGTTATATAGCCTCAGACATTCTTAAGCTTAACTACCAATATTTGGAACAAAATAAAGAAATTTCGTTGGCGCAGATAAAATATCATGTTACTAACAATAAGAAAGTGGATTTACTAGCAAAAAAGGCAACTGTTTCGGGAACTAATAAAAAAATTAAAACTCCAAAATCAGATTTTATGGATAAATCTAAATTATCAATGTTTAAAACTTGGCAAGATGCATATTCAAAAGAAGAAAAAGAAAAGAAATACAAAAACATTCAACCTAATATTTCAAAGTGTCCCTGGTTCAAAAATGAAATAAATAGGTCTTTTATCGGAGTTATTTGTCTTATGAGAAGTAATCATGCTATGCATCCTGCCTACAAAGAAAAATTTATGTTTAATTTGTGATGGAATTGCTGATCTCAATTATATAATTTTAGAGTGTGTCCTAAATTCGCTAGATACTGACACAATTAGAATAATTAGTTAATATTGGTATACCTCCACCAATAAACATTGATGTTTTGCTTTCATTAAACGATGTTAAAGTTTATAAAATATTGTATGAATTTGTTAAAAAAACTAATACAAGATTGTAAGTAGCTGAGCTACCCTAAAAATATTGTAAACCTGAAACGAAAAAATAAAGTAAATGATAAAACAAAAAAGAAACAAAGGAAAAAAAGAAAAAAAAAAAATACAGAACAAAAAAAAAGTAATTAAAAACAAAAAATAATACAAAAATTAAAAGCAAAATAAACAAAAATACATATAATTAAAATAAAAATAGATATTTTTATAATTAATTACAAACCCAGGTATTTTGATAGCTGTAAGTTAAAATATAATAATGTAATCATGTAACAATAGTGGATAAAACAAAAAATTATGGATTACTACAATAGTCTGGCCTTTTGGTTTTATCCAGTGCTATTATAAAAAACTACTATTTTAAACTTTAATGAGGGTTTAAAAAATTAGCGCTGGTAGATGGTCTACCACCATATACTGACAGACTATATTAGAACCCCTGGAAATTTCTAAAAAGCGTCAGGTATCCCAATTTGAATATTTAATTGATCCAGGTAAAAGGTTTTGCTCATTGCTGTTTAGATGAACAATATACCTATTCTATATAGTTAAAAAGTTCACTGAACGTGTAGTAAACCTAAATATAAAATGGGCTGCTAGCAATAGTGCTAGTGTAGTTCAAACCGAGCTCACAGGGATTTTCATAGCAGCGAAATAAGTTACCAGAAACAATATCTATACAGATAGCAGATAAGCACCCTGGAGAGACCAGAAATTTACCCATGGTTAGTACTAGAATGTCACGAAGCTTTGTGGTCGCCTTAAGATGGATCAAAAGTCATGCCACAAAAGGCAGCCAACCAAATACTTTTTGGACCTGGCCCATCTATTTGACGGATAACATTGGTAGTGACCTTTTGAAATTCAAGAAAAGAAGATGAAACAAGGGAGCGTTTAAGTTATCCTGATAATACTATAACAAATACTTAACCAGATCACAGGTAACCAGACTGGTCATTGCCAAGTACGGAAGCATCTGCATATCATGGGGCTGTGAGAATCTGTACTCTGTAGGGGATGCGAACAAGAAGATGAGACCATCAAGCAGATCCTCTACGATTGCCCGACGCTCTCATTTATTAGAAGATTTGTCTTCTGCGAGTATCGGCTAACACTGGCCGATATAAGAGAAGCACCTCTTGGCGACATTGGCTGGCTCGCGAGGTAAGAGGTGCCTATAAATTTAGGAGGATGTACAATGGTTCTAGTGAGGCCTAAGTGATGTGGAGGGGGTAACCCACACTGCACACTTTACAGATACAGATAGTACCTAAATTCATAACACAGGTGATAAAATTAACTAATTATTTATAATTATAGACGAAATAAAAATAAAAATGTTATTATGTATCGATTCTACACCAGAATAACGCATTTTAATGTAAATTAATGTAAATCTCAATAACTAAAAAAATATAGTGACAATTAGTTTGACAGAATTGTCACTGAAGTATTTTAAATTTTAAAAATAATAGTAGTCTGGTGACCAAAATATGAACTGTGGATTTAATTTTTTTTTCTACACCCACATGGATATCTACGTATAGACTGCAAAACGAAAAAGTATACTATTGCTATTAACTGAACGAATATATTTTATATCCATTCGATGTAGTGAGAACACTGCAATAGTAGTTTGTGCAACAAGAGTGGATATAATGGCCATATAGGACGAAGGCGAAATTTGAGCATGAAGACGAGTGGATGCGGACAATCCACTTGAGATGTGCAGTATATTTTTTCTACGGCCAACTAACGAAAATTTATAAATAAAAAAAAAATTAAGGCTCGAACTTGGGTTTCTCGCGTAGAAGTCAGATACTCTCACCAGCCATCCATCGGCATATTTGGCAAATTTTTTTAATACTCGTAATTGAATTGACTTCATAGAAAACAGAGAAACGCTATTATTTATCTATTCTACACAAAAATAAGTAATATATGAACTGTGTTTGGTAAATTTAATTTTTTTGCAGTGTTCTCTCTACACCTAGAATGGATGATATGAAATATATTCGTTCAGTTGAACGCAATAGCATATTTTCTAGTTTGAAGCAGATAAGCTAATATCCATTAGGGTGTAGAAAACATCGTTTTGGACTAACTGCAAATATGAATATTTTTAAGTTATTTACAAAATCGATATTTTGTGATAAAACACTTTAGTTAGGGGTTCCATAAGGATCAAATTTAGGCCCTTTAATTTCTTCTTATTAACTAACGATTTGCCAGATGTCGTTAAACATTCTAAATGTATATTTACTTTTTCCTGACGATGTGAAAAAACATACAAATTATTAGAGATTGTTCAGCTTTGCAAAAAGATATAAACAATATAATTGAAATTGAGTGATCAGTGTAAATTAGACTTCAATATTAAAAAATGTAATGTGATGCCAATTATTCGCCTAACACTCGACGTAGGGTGGGTGGCTCAGTGGTTAGAGTCATGACTTTGAGATCGAAGGAAGTTTTTTATTTAATTTAATGAAATATCAATTCTAATGCATAGGTAGGATTTCCCACTCAATAATTCAGTGTTGGGGTCTAATTAATAGTACTGTTTCTAAAGTGGCGCTGGGAAATAGTCACAATGCCTACACAGACTACGAGTCCTATAACCTTAGCAGTTGATGCTGATACGAAAAACACTTGAAGTATCACTGATTATATTAAAGGAAAAATATGCGCAAATGCAATCTGTGCAGTCTTGGCGGCCATTTGTTGCATGTTTTATTTTACACATAATCGGTATTTATATACTTCATATTAAAATTAAAATATTTACAATTTTCTAGTAAATGTTTTATTGAAAAATTGAATCTGAGCTCGTTTCGAAAACATCCTATATCAATAACTGTCATCCACATTGGATCTTACTAAATGGTTTTGTCATGAGGGGTCTATATCTTGCGCCAATACTGACCTAGTTTTAGATATTTCCCTGCTTGGTAATGCAACGGAACTTTATATGCACCCAGACAACACACCAAATCCCAGAGATATCCACAGAATATCTTTTGTGGATATCCAATATATCCACAGGATATCAGAAATATTCCGTGGATCTAATATGGATATCCAAATATCCGTCTATATCCAGAATATAGAAGATATCCTAATGGATATCCAGCAAAATATCTAATGGGTATCTTCCAGAAAATACAAGAAATCATCCACAGAATATATTTTGTGGATATTCAATATATCCAATATGGATATCCAACCAAATGTCCGTCTATATCCCAGGATATAGAAGATATTCGGATATTCAGCAACATATTTTATCTTTAGTAGTGGTTCATAAGTAACCAATGAGAACTAAGGAGAAAGTCATCCTTATTAGGACTCTTCAGCAATAAATGGAAATTCTCGACTCCAGTCTCTATTGGAGTCTGATTAGAATAAACATTTCGATCGAACTCAATTACGGCGGGTCAAGCATGAGTAGATGCGAAAGTGGTATCGCCATCTATACTTAGTAAGCAAAACCAAATAACATCTAGTGGATATCCACGATAGTTTGCGTTCGCGCCTAGACTTTGATATATTTAGTGGATGTCCATGGAATATTGAATACACCTTAAAAAAATTAATTTTAAATATCTGAACGGTACTTTTAGCCACAATGGCGAGCACAATGGCGTAATTTTTTAATAATTTGCTATATAATTACTATTATTTATGGACATTTGCATGTCTATAAATTACATATCATGGATATAAAATAGATATCCACCATGGACTGGACATTCAGTGGATATTGGGATGTGTAGTAGATATCCAAAGGATTTGGTGTGCTGTCTGGGCAATCACTTCTATTATTGATTCTTTGAAAAACTTACATACTGGTGGAGCGTCAACTTCATCCAAACCTCCATCTAAAACTCTAATTCTGGTCTGTACATCTTGATCGAAATCGGTTTCAAGAAGTGTTTGTCTATTTGCCAACCCAGAAGAACTGGCTGGCGGTTCATCTAAATCTAACGGTTGAAGATAGAGGTCGCTGCTTCTTCGTCGGGAACTAATGGCGGAATATCTCGGTAATTCCAGATCGTCGTTGTCTTCTAAAGCGTCGGAAAGTCCACTTTCTTGCTGAAGTGGTCTAAAATATAGATTATTAGTTGTTTAATGTTAACTTTGAATATTATGTGAAATAAGATTGGAATATGGCGTTTTCCTTCATATCTCTGCAAATTTTATATCATATTATTGACCTACCTTTTTGGTGAAAAATCAGGCTGCCTTAGAACAACTTCTGGAGAGGGAGGTACTTCAACGGTTTTATAATATTTGTACCAAGGATACCGCTTTCCAGACAACTTTTGCGATTTGAATCTTTGGTAATAGGCCGTTGTCACAGATAGCTTTATCAGATTTAAAATAATGCTCATCATTTGCGCTTTTTCTAAAATAAATAATCATGATGAAAACTAATAGCTAATTTTGTATTAAGAGCTGAAAGAAGTAACTTTCCACTTGAGATAATTTAATATACAGGGTGGACCGGATTTAATTTGTGTATACAGAGATCTCGTAAACCGTAAGATATACATTGTCGGTTAAATGGGGAAAAAGTTTCGTATTTTGACGGATAATACAATGGTCCATAGAAGTTCCAAATTTTCTGACTGGTTCCAGAGATATTCGATAAAATCCGGAAAACCTCATTTTCGTTTTTTAAGTCGTGCGTTGTTATTATAAAAGATACAAAAAAAAATATACTAAGTTTTTGTTGTAAATCAAGTTCCCTATAATCTGCCATGTCAAAATTTTTATTACGACATTTCGTATTTCCAGGGCCACCTTCAACTTATTTTTTTAAATACGGACCTGGATTTTTAACTGTAATTTTTCATAGCTTTTGTATAGCTAAATACAACGATATGTTACACTTTACCATTTTACTACGTTTCGTCTATGAAAATATCATCAGCTATGTAGCTTCTGATGATACCGTTTCTTACTCGATTAAAACAAGATAGCTAATTAAATAATAATTAAAAAACAAAAAATGCTTAAAATGTGAAATTTTATATATTATTTGAAACATAATACAAGAATTATTTAATTAGAAAATGAGTTACAATTTTTTAACAAACATGATTAAGTACAACCAGCAAACAAGACTAATGAAGAACGAATTATGGTTGTACACATTCTACAAATAATAAAGCTAATAACAAAAACATAAAATGAAAAACAAAACGGTCAAGCAATCTATAAATTCCTATCACCTGATTTTCTGTAAAATATTTCTCTTAGGTTTCTCACACCGTATTTTTTCTATCTTTAATGTTTTCACTTTTGCATACATAAGAACTTAACAAAATCATGTTTGCCATGCATGTCAGTTGTAACTTTTCATCAATATTTCTGTTATAAACTGTAACATCTAATTACAGTACTTTTTTAACTTTAAATAATTTAAAATTAAATAAATATTATGGTTCGTTATACTGAAGAAGAGAAGAAAGATATGTATGATGTGTACCCGGTCAGCTCAGACTTATTTAGATTTATATCCTAATAGACAACAGCCATCTAAGAGGATGTTTTCTTATATTTCAAAAAATATAGCAGAGCATAGCAGTGTGAATGAAATTAATGTTCTTGCCCAAATACATATTAACCCTGAAAATTCTACTAGGCGAATAGCTAAAGAATGTGTAGTAGGAACCTCCACGGTTAAAAGAATTTTAAAGAAACATAAATACCACGGGTATAAATTTCAAAAAGTCCAGAAATTATACGCTGAAGACTCTGATAGAAGACTGATGTTTTGTCGTTGGTATAGTAGAAAACTGCACAATGACCGTTCTTTCAACAAAAAGATTATGGACGGATGAATGCTCCTTTACTAATAGTGGAATATTTAATCCCAGGAACAAGCATTTGTATGCTACTTCTAATCCCTATTTAATCAGAGAAGTTAGACCACATTTCCGTTTTACCCAAAATGTGTGGTGTGGACTAATTAATAATCAGATTATTGGGCCGATTTTTTGGATGGTAATTTAAATCAGTTCCGATACCTACATTTATTGGAGGAAGTACTAGATGAGATGCCCTCACAAACAAGACAAAATCTTAAATACTTTATGCAAGACCGTTGTGGTGCACACAATGCTAGGAGGATGCAGAGTATCTCGATCAATATTTTAGAGGTAATTGGATTGGTACCAATGAACCAATAAGATGGCCTTCTCGATCTCCGTGTCTTAACCCGATGGATTATTTTGTATGGGACTTCGTAAAGAACCAAATCTACGACAAAAATATGCCAAATAATCTACAACGAATAGTAGATGCATTTAAAAAATTACACCAGAAATGGTTGATAAATCTACATCCCAAATGTCTAGGAGAATTGCACTCTGTATCCAACAGAATGGACTACATTTTGAGCAACTATTGTGACGGTTTTTGTTATTGAATTTTGTTTTTGTTATTAGCTTTATTATTTGTAGAATGTGTACAACTATAATTCGTTCTTCATTAGTCTTGTTTGCTTGTTGTACTTAATCATGTTTGATAAAAAATTGTAACCCATTTTGTAATTAAATAATTCTTGTATTATGTTTCAAATAATATTTAAAATTTCACATTTTAAGCATTTTTTGTTTTTAAATTATTATTTAATCAAGTACGAAACGGTATCATCATAAGCTACATATCTGATGATATTTTCATAGACGAAACATAGTAAAATGGTAAAGTGTAACATATCGTTGTATTTAGCTATACAAAAGCTATAAAAAATTACAGTTAAAAATCCATGTCAGATTATAGGGAACTTGATTTATAACAAAAACTTCGTATAAATTTTTTGTATCTTTTATAATAACAACGTACGACTTAAAAAACGAAAATGAGGTTTTTTGGATTTTATCGAATATCTCCGGAACCAGTCAGAAAATCTGGACCTTCTATGGACCATTGTATTATCCGTCAAAATACGAAACTTTTTCCCCATTTAACCGACAATGTATATCTTACGGTTTACGAGATCTCTGTATACGCAAATTAAATCCGGTCCACCCTGTATAGGGTGTTTTTGAAATATTCATATTAAAACTGGTTAATATTTTAACTTTACTCGAATGCCCAAAAATATTATTTCTATAAAATACTTATTAATAAAGGCATTATTATGAATCGAAAAATCCACATTAACTGCCATGTTAAGCTAGATAAAGAGAGGGTGGGGGGTTGAAATAAAAAAAAATAGAAATCAAAAACCAAAAGCGACATCAACATGAAATTTTTAGTAAAAATCAAGCTCTTTAAGGGAATAAAACCTATTGATTTTAAAAAAAATCTGAATAAAAAGGGAGACAAGTGGGGCTTGAAATATTGAAAAAAATCCTAACTCAGTAACGAAAAATAATATTAACTTGAAATTTTTAGCAAAAACATGCTCTATTAAAAGAAAAGGCCCTCTTGTTAAAAAGGGGGGGTTTAAGGGGGATTAAAATTTAAAAATCAAATCAAAAATAAAAAGCGATATCAACATGAAATATTAATTAAAAATCAAACTCTACAAGGAAAAAAAAAATCCAAGAAAAATGGAGGAATAAGGGGGTTGAAATATTGAAAAAATCCTAACTCTGAACAAAAAACGATATCAAATTTAAATCTTGTGGAAAAATCAAGCTTTATAAGCTTATTGATTGTGCAAAAAATCTGAATAAAAATAAGGGGTTAAGGGGGGTTAAAATATTTAAAGAATCTTGTTTCAAAAACGAAAAATAATATCAACGTGAAATTTTTAGTAAAAATCAAGCTCTATAAGAGAAAAAAAGCTATTGATTCTGAAAAAAATCTGAATCAAAATTGGGGGATAAAGGGGGTCGAAATATTAAAAAAAAAAAAATAATAATAACTTAGAAATAACAAAACGATATCAAATTGAAAACTTCAAGAAAAGGGGATGAAGCGTATTGATTCAGAAAAAAATTGGTTGAAGATGGGGGTTAAGGAAGGTCTGTTAAACTGTGAAGAAAAGAGTAAAATATAAAATTCCAAGCTTTATATACCTTCATTCTAGTTATTATTTGTCGTGGCGCTCCGGGGCTACTTAAAGATGATTAATGGTGTCATTTGACTTACAGGTGAGGAAAACCCCACCCACCATCATCGAAACGGTAACGCATAGCAATTTTATAATCTGGACGTCATATCAACAGAAATTAAATTTCTGCTAATACAGCATCCATCAAATTATATAGAGAACCATTCAAATAAATTCACATGGTCTTCAGTAGGATTCAAAGCCAGTGTATCTCTTACCACAAAATTGGCTGGTAAATGAATGCGAGCGCCGTAGACAGCTACACCACCGTTGCGGTGAATAAATAAATAATAATTAATTGACTCACTAAGGCGAACCTGCCTTGTATCTGTATATTTTGTAGATATTTAATAATAAAAAATATGTACCCGTTTGTCGGTTAATATCAGCATTGTGCCTGATAAGAATATACAGCTGCAATAAAACTTGAGGCAAGGCTTCCAAGTAAGATTGCAAAAAGACATACAATTCTATTGAACGTGGAGCTGTTATTATAGATATGGCATCTGCGGTAGATTTGTCATCTTGTGCTCTCAAAGCTTCTATAGACCAAAAAATTCTTTCGGCAAACCTGAAAATTCAAAAATTGTACTATCAACTATTTTGTTTACAGTTCGATTGCGTGTTCTCTTTCCGTGAACCTATAGTAGGCGATGATATTTTGTTTAACATTTCAATCTAGTTGTTTAGTTAGTGACAGTTGTCAAATATATCTGATTGTCTGCAAGTTACATAAGTTTAAAGTAATCCTGTTGCCAATAAGTGAAAGAAATGGACAAGGATCATTATCAGGCTCTGATTTCTTACAATTTCAAGCGTGGCTTAAATCGTAAAGAATTTTTTGAGCAAATCAATCGATTGCTTGATCACAAGTCGTGTTGCTTCGCTACCTTAAAGCGGTGGTACAATGAATTTCAAACTAGTCGACTCCCCTTACATGACAGTTTGCGAGCTAATAAGCCCAAAAAGGCATTTACAGAAAAAATATTGATCATGATTAAAGAGAATCGTCTAATTTGTTGTACAATACCATATGTATTGAAACATGGGTGGACTACAATGAGCCCGAAAAAAAAAAACATATTGTTAGTTTGGTTCTTTAAGAATGAGTCGGCTTCAACAAATAAAGTTGTTTGTGAAAAAAGCCTAAACAAAAAAATGGTCTTTTTGGAATTACTGATGCACATGTTTTCACTGAAGCACTGGAGGATAGACGTACTGTTAATTCAGAATGGTACACTACAGTTTGTTTGCTTTAGGTTCTCCAAAAGCTTCGCGTAAAATGTCCAAAAGGAAGGATCATCATCTTGCATCAAGATAATGCTCGGGTTCACACTGCTACTCGAAAAAATGAGTATTTGAATGCCCAAAACATAGAAATAATAGGTTCTTTCGTTCGCCTCATTGGTGTAGGAATGAACTACACCAACGGACACATACCTTTCGTTTAGCCTAGTGTAAAATACACTACACCTTCCTGTCGGCGATGTGGTGTCCATTAGTGGATATTTTCTCCACAAGCTAATTAACAGGAGTGAATTAGACTCGACATGTGTATAAGGAATAAGGAGGAAGTAAACTAGATAAATAAGGTGGTGTAATTGCCCCTTGTGTACACTGCACCAACAGCGAAGGAAAGAACCTAATGGGTCGTTCGCGTACAATCCAGACCTAGCACCACCTAATGATCTATTATTTCCGCGGCTAAAGGATACATTTTACATCGGCCGAAGAAGCGGTTAATGCTTTTAACAATGAAATAAACAAACTATGACCAGAATCTCGGAGAATACTATATTCTTTAACAAGGTTGGAATGAAAATTCGATACGAGTGGAAAATTTTGAATGCGAGGGTAAGCGAGCGTGAAGAACCACGAGTAACGGATTTTCATTCCAACAGATTACTAACAGACTGTACTTTCTCCACTGCCACAGATTATTTATCGATTCTACACAAGAATAACTCATTTTAATGTATATTTAATCTCAATAACTAAAACATATATTGACAATTAGTTTGACAGAAATGTCACTTATTTTAAATTTTAAAAAATAGTAGCCGGGTCACCAAAATATGAACTGTACCTAATTGGTAGATTTCATATTTTTGCAATGTTCTTACTAGGTAGAATCTTAATGGATTATTCGTTCAGTTAAACGCACTGACATACTTTTCCGCTTTGTATTCTGTGAGTAGAATAACTAATATCCATGTGGTTGTAGAAAATAGTTATTTTACTAACTAGTGCTGAAAGTGCCTCTTTGCCGCACGAGAGTACAAAATAGCTATTTGTGTATTAAGAGCGAAAAGTGCTTGAGATAAAAAGTTGCCGCGCCACACCCCAGTGGAGTGCGGCATTTTATCGTAAGCGGAAAATAACTTTCCGCCCGAATTACACACATTTTTTTCTAGGATTGCACGATATTACCAAATTCAAATTTTGCTTCAATATTTATTTGACAGTCACCGCTAGTCCATCGCAACGACTATTATATTGATTGAGCCCAGCGTATGGTATGTGTATGTTGTGTTGCCTACTTAACTGTAGATTGAAAACGAAGAAAACTATTTTTATTATTTCAATTATCGTTTAAATATTAATAGATATAGATTAAAATATTAGATGATTAACTAAAATATTAAGATTCGTCTACATTTTGTTTTAAAATACAGATTAGCCTTAAAAATGACTACCTTTCTAATGGAAATAAGCGTGTATCAAAGTAACTTAGTGCGCCAATAAAGTCAAATTATGACACATCGCGGAAAAAGTCAACTTTCTACCTTTCCAGTTAGATTTAAATGTGCAAAAGCTTTCTTTGAATAGTAATCGTAGAAAAATTATTTTTTCTATGAACGCGAAGTAAATACAAATGCTATTCGTTTCCGAAAATGTCTAGTAAATGAAAGACATTACTTTTCCGCACTAGTGCAGAAAAGTACATTTATCTAAACCGAAATGCGTGTAGAAACGTGGTATTTTCGATACGCTCTTAATAAATACTATCTTCGTAACCTAAATTATTAACATACCTAGATATTACGTATAATAATTGATTGTGATTAAAAATAGTTACGTATTAATTGATTTGGAAAACGATAATATAGGTACCTAAATGTTTTTTCTACGATCACTATCCAAAGTAAGCTGTAGCCCTTCAAAATACCACTGCAAAGTTGACGTTTTCGACGAACTGACATTAAGTGACAACTTTGTCGCTCACCGAGCGGAAAACTTGACAGCTTAATTTGTTCCTCGTCTAATTTAAATTAAATATAATATAAAATTTCTTTTTAATAAACGATTTTGAAGTTAAGTGTAAGGGGTTAAAGAAAAGGTCCTTTATTTCTCACAAGTCAATTTAATTGGCGACCGGTTTCGAAGCTGTCACTTCATCATCAGGCACACCTTGACTATTTCCATAAAGGAAGCGCTACATAAAGTTTAACAAACAGACATCTCGCGGTTTAACCTAACCTACAATATTTTTTAAAAAAATACTATTGTATTACATATGACTTTTTTAACTCGTTTTGTTAAACTTTATGTAGCGCTTCCTTTATGGAAATAGTCAAGGTGTGCCTGATGATGAAGTGACAGCTTCGAAACCGGTCGCCAATTAAATTGACTTGTGAGAAATAAAGGACCTTTTCTTTAACCCCTTACACTTAATCCCTACTACTCACATATGGCTACCCTCACTCCAGATTTTGAAGTTATTTGCACGTAGTTTGAAGTTTTTTCATGAATAACGTAGATACAGGCAACACATTATACAGTACTTACCAGAAATGTTTAGTTTTTATATCTATTTCTTAAAATAATGTGATCGTAGAAAAAATCTTGTGTGCATTTTGAGCGGAAAGTTTGTTGCCACGCGACGCGTAGCGGTCAAGTATCACTTTTCGCTCTTAATATACGAATAGCTATTATGGATTTTTGTCCACGATGCTAAGCTAAAACCCAAATACCTACTATTTGTCGTTGACGGTTGTAGATGAGTAGCAGAGGTAGTTGATGGGTTTTGAAAGTTTGGGAGTTTGGGTGGTGCAAATACTGATAAAATTCTTTGGTTGATATTTTGGCCTGCAGTATAAAACACAATTTCAAAATTTAATTTAGATATACCTTACTAATAAATATTTTTTTCTGAAATTTTTAGGGGAAATTCCAGTTGAGGGCTTTCTAATTCAGTGCCTAATATTGTGCCTTGAAAACTAATTATTTTAAATCATAAAACATTGTATGGGTTGTATTTTTTGATTCGCTACATTATTAAAAAAAAAGTTTGAATCTTTTAAAAATAAGATAATTTACAGGGGTAGTTTCATTTCAAGTGGATCACACTGTATATAAATAAACGATGGTTCTTTCAACTTCTATGCTCTCTCTTTTATGAATTTTTATTCCACAGCAGTGCTTAATCATTTTCGTGGAAAGATAATGTGTAATGAGTAATGACACGCCCACCCTAATTTTTTTCTTATATGTTTTTTTAAAGAAATTAATTGCTTTTGGGTAAATTTCTCTATTTAGATAAAAAATTAAAATTTACCTCCACATACTCCATATCGGAAAGAATAAATGTTGAAAAACTTTGGTCCAAAACCATTTAATATTTGTTTTACTGCATGATTCAAATTCGGGCCACAGTTCCCAGTTGGAAATCACTATAATAAAACTTGATAACACAGGAACATATAAAATAAATAGTGTTAGAGAAGCCCAGATAGGATCTAAATTTTTGTAGTGGCTAAAAATCACACCAATATCAGCTGCTATTAATAAAATATACAAAACACAAGCACTAATCGAAGGCACTAGATGGTTCACTAAAGCATCTTGACGTGGAGAGAGTTCGTATCCTAATAACGTCGATTTCTTTGTATCTGTTTTTACTATAGACATTATTCATATTTTAAAAAAATATTTTTTGTATTTGAATTAATTTTTAGTAGCACAGTTTTGGTGTCAGACATAGTTTGTACCCACATTTGTTGTTAAGTATAATCTTATCTTTATTGATAAGTCAGATAAAGGAAAATAAAACCTATCGTTTGTTTACCTATATTTAGTCACTTTTATTTAATAATTTATAGTTTTAGTTTTGAGATGTGGAAAAAATATTCTTATCTCCTTTTTATATATAGATAAGGAACAAACTTAAGTCCTAAATTAAATTTTTCTACTCCGGAAAACAAGTACTCGTTATAATTAGTTTCGTCTTGTATACAGGGTGTCCGGCAAAATGTGGGAGGTCTCTCGGATTTATATAAAACATTTTTTTCCTAGCTGCCCTCCCTACGGAGATACGGCCTCCAAAAGGACGCCACTGTAAATAAATTTTTCTTAAATAACCTTCAAACTACGTAATATTTAATGAAAATTTAATATGATAAACAGTAGTAAGAACCTCTTAAAATACTGCCCTTCAAACATAATTAGCTTGTTTAGTTTACCAGGGCGGACTAGGCTGTACATTTTAATGCTTACATTTTTAACACCCTCTATGATAAGGAGTTAAAAAAAATAAATTTCAATACCTTGAACTAAAGAAAAGGTACTCTTCTTCATTGTCGATAAAATGAACTGTTTTCGAGAAAAAAAAAATATAAGAATTAATTTATTGAATTTTGAATATCTTGGTAAATTTAATTCGATAATTGGATACTCAGTGAGTATGCAGATATGCATCTTATGTACAGTCTTGCATCTTGCAATGCTTATGAAGCAAAAAGGTTGTATGAAGAAATATATCCTAATCGCAATATTCCAAATGAGAAAACATTTCAGCAACTTGACCAACATCTAAGATAGACTGGTGGGAGATTCCCAGTTAATATGGTAACATTATTGGCTTTCTTTAATAATTTTTAGGAAAGCAAGTACTGATGCTGGTGTGACAAGAACAGTACATACGGTGCAGTTGGAGGAAAATATTTTGGATACTGTAGCTGATATTCCTTCAATAAGCACTCGAAGATTAGCCGCGCAGCTTCATGTGTCAAAAACGACAATTGTTGAAGTACTTAAAGAACAGTTGTTATATTCTGCAAAAAGTGCATCAACTACTTCCTGAAAATTTTCCTCGAAGAATCGCAAACACGTTATCTATCTGTAACGTGTGGAGGATGGGTTACCCCCACGGCACTTAGGCCTCATTAGTCCCATTGTGATAGGCACCTCCTAGCTCGTGAGCCAGCCTACATATTTAATGTAGTTGACAACGTCGCCAAAAGGTGCTTCTCTTATATCGGCCGGTGTTAGCCGATACTCGCCGAATACAAATCTTCTAATAAATAAGAGCGTCGAGCAATCGTACAAGATATGCTCGATAGTCTCATCTTCTTGTTCGCACCCTCTGCAGAGTGCGGATTCTGGCAGCCCCATGATATGGAGATGCTTCCGTACTTGGCAATGACCAGTCAAAATGCCTGTGACTAGGCGCAGATTCTGTCTAGTCATAGTCAAGTATTTGTTTGCTGCAGTGTTGTCAGGATAACTTAAGAACTCCCTGGCAACTCTGCAGTTTCTTGTTTCATCCTATCTTTCCTTGAATTTCACAAGGGAATGTTCTTTAATTAGGTCTGTCACTACCGATTTTGTCAGGCCAATAGAAGGGCCAGGTCCAAAAAGTATTTGGCTGGCTGCTTTCTTGGCTAGTGCATCAGCAAGACTGTTTCCTTTTGATGTGGCGTGACCTTTGATCCATCTTAAGGTGACCACATTGTTGATGGATACTTCGGCCAAAGCTTCGTGACATTCTAGTACTAACCCTGAGTAAATTCGTGGTCTGTTCAGGGTGAGTAGTGCTTGTCTGCTATCTGTACAGATGAGCATATTTCTTCCAGTGATATTGTTTCTGGTTATTTCTTTTGTTGCTATGAGAATCCCCGTTATCTCTGTTTGAACTACACTGGCACTATTGCTCACAGCCAATTTTATGTTTAGGTTTAAGAATCTGGAGTATATTCCACATCCTGAGCCTTTGTTTTAGAACCGTCGGTGTAGATATGAATCGTACCTGCCACTTCTGGCTCTTCTATTATTTGTTCTATCATAGCTTTATATGGCTTATGGAAGATATATCTCGGTGAGATGGAGTCCATGTTTGCTTGAAGCAGTGGGAGCGTATCGAGCGCCTCCTTCCAAAAGCGACGTCCTGCTTCACCAGATCCTACATCAGGTTCTATTCCAACCGTGCGGAGCGTGTCATTGTCGTCAGATGTAAATATCAAGGGGAGTGAGACTAAGAATGGTTCTGGTCGGTATTGTTTTCATGGCTCCTGTTATGTTGGGACATGCTGTTCTTTGAATTTGTTCTAGTTTACGGATAGCTGTTAATTTTTGGGTTTTCGGTATCCAGACAACTGCACCGTACGTTAGCATAGGTCTTATAGTAGCCGTGTAAGACCATGCGACGACTCTGGGGGAGAAACCCCAGGTGCGCCCCACGGTTCCGCGGCATTGTTCATAAGCAATGTATGCTCTTTTAACTCTTTTAACTTTGTGTTTAGGAGTTCTGGAGGTTTCAATTCCATTTTCATCCTTTTCCTTGTGAAAAGGACCATTTCTGTCTTCTTAGGATTGATAGATAGTGAATGGTCCCTGTACCACTCTTCTATAATTTTTAGAGCTACTTGTATTCTTTCCAGAGTATGTTCTCAAAATTTCCTGTTTGCAGAATGACCAGGTCATCTGCATATGCTATTGTGTAGTGACTGTCATTATTGAAGCGGCTGATGAGGGTGTCAAGGACCTTATTCGTCCTTGTGGACAACCCCTCGCAACCAAGCCTCTTATATTCACGCATTTTTTACACTTATGTTTACTGTTGGTTAGTGAATGTATTATCTTTGGGAAGGTGGTTTTATCAAAAGCACCTTCTATGTCTATGAAAACACCCAAGGCGGACTCCTTATTGTCCAGGGATCTTTCTATCCGGCTAGCAACTAGATGAAGGGCTGAATCAGTAGATCTGCCTGGGGTGTATGCATGATGGTTTGGGTGTAGTAGTGTTGTTGTAATCACTGCATCCCTTATGTTCCTTTCGCATAGCCCTTCCAATTTCTTCATGGAAAACGATGTCAGACTAATTGGTCGGTATGTTTTTGGGACAGTGTAATCCATCCTTCCAGGTATGGGTATAAATACCACTTTTACCTCTCCCCATTTTTTGGGGATATAAGTCAGAGCCAACGAGGATCTGAATATACCCACCAGGTGCGGTGTGAGTTCTTCCAGACCCCACTGAAGTAGGGCTGGATGAATACCGTCAGGTCCTGGCGATAAGCTGGATATTGCTCATCTAATTTTTTCATCGTCTATAATGTGTTTGGTAGTTTGTCAATCATGGACTGATGGATTGTATTTTTCTTCTGCCCAGTCGGCCACGTCTGTGATGACCGAGTCAGGGAAGTGTGTTGACAGCAGAAGTTTGATGCTATCTTCGGGGTTGGCAGTTTTCATGCCATCCTCTTTGATTAGCGCACCAATGCTTCGGTGTAGATCTTTTGAGACAGCTTTTTGAGGCCTCGCTGTGTGCGGGAAATCTTCTATTTCTTTGCAGTAGGATCTCCATGCATCTCTCTTTTTATCTGACGATTTTTTTGTATTCTCTGAGGTGAGATTTGTAAGTATCCCAGTCCTCTTTGAGTTTTGTGGTTCTTGCCTTATAAAAGGATTTCCTAGCCATCTTTCTGAGGTGATCCAACTCATGTCACCTTTGGATAGTGTTCAAGTACTTCTCTGAAGCATTGTTATTGTTTGGTGTTTCGGCCTCCATCTTTCTCAGAGCCTCTTGGAGAAGGTGGGCATAAAAACTGGCTCTTAGATCAGCAACTAACAAACGGAAACTTCATTAGCACTATTCTTTTTACCGATGAATAAGCAGGGTTTACCAAAAATGGTATTGTAAATTTACATAACTCGCATGTATGGGCTGATGAAAACCCTCATGCCACTGTTGTTCATCATTATCAACATCAGTTCCAATCAATTAATGTTTGGGCTGGAATAATCGAAAATTTTTTGATTGGACCATGTGTATTGCCGCCACGATTGAATGGTGAACTTTATTTACAGTTCCTTCAGAACGCTTTTCTGGATTCAATAGAGCCTTTGCCACTTGAAACCCGCCGAAGTATGTATTTTATGCATGATGGAGCCCCACCTCACTTTAGCGTCGCTGTACGGGATCACCTGAATAACGTCTATCGAAACCGTTGGATAGGTCTCCCGACAATGGATTTTTACCTGTGGGGTCATCCCAAAACCTTGGTGTATTCCTCTCTCCGGTTGATACTAGGGAGGAACTTTTGCAGAGAATCTCATTTCATTGTGATGTGATAAGGAACAATGCTGGGTTGTTGTGGCGAGTACAGCAGTCCACGGGTCCGCGAGTGTATCGGAGTTCACAGAGCACCTACTTATAAAGTTTTTAATTGATTATTTCTAATTAGCGTATTTAAATTCAATCGTTACAAGCTTAAGTGAGTTCAGGATGAAAACATAATACTCCATTTTAGAATTTATCTTAGATTAAAGAGACTGAAGATGTAATATTGCACACTAGGCATGTTGTCTATTTAACCCAAAGTAACCCACCAATTGAAAATCATTGTTTGCACGACGTCACCCGAATTGCTCCGATTCTTCCATTCAACGCTCACCTCCGCCTGAGTTTAATCACCACCAAAGAGGTTAGAAAGGGTAGAGGTAACATAGGAAGCATTTCTCGCTGCGCGAATTTTGCCAAAACCGAAAAACTGGGTGGAAGGAGTAGGGAGGTGTTCTGGGCCGGACTTAAATATTTGTATTGTAGTACCTAATTTTGGCGGGTAATTAAAAGATGAAAAATTATGAGACGTTTGTTTGACTTTATTTGTTAGCACGATTCTTGTATGATG